ATGACCTAGCCAAGCCTTCCATTACCACATTTCCTTTCTTCAAAGATCCACTTTCCTCCAAAAAAAAAAAAAAAAAAAAAAATCACCCTAATTAAGAAGATAGAAGTACTCAAGTACCAAGTCTCAGATTATCCCCATCAATTAAAGAACAGATCACAGGAAGGAATTTTCTCCTTGATCTTAGCTCATTATTAAATAGCACCTTTTGACCTAACTTCTAATCTAGTCATCTTGTACTCCACAGCTAAACACAGTATGAATATACTTTCAGCAACAATACTTTTAGGCAGCAATTTAAAACAAAATGTCATCTGCATGTGAAAAATTCAAAGCAGGATATTTCACTTCCTTTTTAATTATATCACATTCTAGCTTATGCCAGAAATGGCTCATATAACCTCTATTCTGCCTTTATGGTCTTCTTCCATTAGGTAACTGGAAATACTAAAGGTAACATATTTCTAGTGAGAAGAAAACTGTTGCCCACTCATCAAGGATAAGAAAATTCCATAGTACTATCAATGCATAATTCAAAGCTTCCAATAAATTTATTACCTGATTACATGGAATTAAGCAGTTCTATATAAATTGATCCAAAATTTATCTATAAGTACCCTCTGTGTACCAACAGGTCTTCACATCCTCCTTACTACTAGGAACTATTTTTTTAGCTGATTCAGATATTTTGGTAGCTTTGTAATGTTCTTGCCAATAGCAGATTACTGAGAGCCATTTGCTATGATCATCTTACAAATGAACTGACTACAAGTGACCCAATTTGATCTCAGAATTAAACATGCTCTCCCATAAAATTGATGTCTTTTTCCTCTTATATGGAGATACAATTTGGGACAGCTGAAGGCCAACAACTGTATAACAGCTCACATTTTTGTGTAGCAATAGCAGCAGTAGCAACAGAAGTCAAAAAGAAGCTAAGGGGAAAGCTTAATGCCCATATATAACCTTGGAACACAGTTTTTCAGCTTAAAAAGAAATACTTAATAGAAGATTTTGAGTGACTACTTCTTGATGGAGAGTAATTTCTCCCACTCATCATACTAAAATTACTTTCATATGCATGTGTCTTCTATTGGAAAAATAAATGAAAATTTCTGCAACTGATATTTTTCTAGATATTAGTCAATTTCCTGAAACAGATAATGAGAGCTTTAAGAAAACAATCTTTAATAGTAGACTTTATCTAGTCCTAAATTTAGAGAATGCAAATACTGATGGACATTATGAGTATTCTGTGCCAACAACCTCACACTTGGCCAATCAACAACAGTCCTTAAAAGTACATGATGTGGATTTTGGCATGTTCTAATGCTTCCAGGTCCTAGGTGCAGTCTCAGATCTATCTTTGCTATTTCCTGAGCCAGTAATGATGGCTGGTCTTGCTTAGTGTCAATGGGCATTACATTGAAACATAGTTTGTGTTGTCATTTCTGAAAATTGTACACTAGACAAAATCATTTCTAAAAATTGTACAATAGACAAAATCAGGTTTGTTTCAATATATGCCCTGAGGTTTTTTTTTTTTTAAATTGTAGTTATAGATGGACAGAATGCCTTTATTTTATTTATTTTTATTTGGTACTTAGGATTGAATCCAGTGCCTCATGCATGCTAGCTCATGCATACTAGGCAAGTGCTCTGCCATTGAGCTACAGCCCCAGCTCCCCAGAGTAGATTTAAAATTGAACCTGTGAGGGAGGGTGTAACTCAGTGGGAGAGTGATTGCCTATCATGCTTGAAGCCATGGGTTGGATCCCCAACACTGCAAAAAAGAAAGGGAAGGGAAGAGGAAAAAGAAGGAGAAAAGAAGGAAAAACTTGCATCTGTTAAGTTTTTTGCCTTGTTTGATAAGAAGAAAGTTTCATGTCTTGGTTCTTTGGTGCATAAGGAAGGCCCTTGGTATTCGCATTTGTAGGAATCCCTGTGAAAGGGATCCCTGTCTACAATGAACTGCATAGACATCATTATAACTGGCTTCAAATCTGGCACTAAACAGTCATAAATGCTAATGAATAAAGGACACAATCATTCTTCATTTTTGACATGGGGGAAGGGAAGCAAAGGGAAAAATAGAAGCTCTGCGTTCCACAGGAGATTCCACGAAGAGCATCCATGTGAGCTTGAATCCAGATCTCTCTAATTAGAAAGGCAAAGGACCTCACAAACTACATGAAGCAAAACTTTGCACTGCAGATTTGCCAACACATTTTTTAAGAGAGAGAGAGAGAGAGAATTCTTTTTTTAATATTTGTTTTTTAGTTTTCAGCAGACACAACATCTTTGTCTGTACGTGGTGCTGAGGATCGAACCCGGGCTGTACGCATGCCAGGCGAGTGCGCTACCGCTTGAGCCACATCCCCAGCCCAAAAGTTTCTTAATATTATTCAAAAGATAAGTCAATTCATATAGGGCTATTATAAATAAAGCACAAATAATTTAGTTTCAGAGGAAGAGGACTAGGATTAATCCCAGGGGCACTTTACTATTGAATTACATCTCCAGACTTTATATTATATTTTGAGAAAGGGTCTCACTAAGTTGCTCAGGTTGGTTTTGCACTTATGATCCTCCTGCCTAAGCCTCCTGAGTCATTGGTATTACAAGCATGTGCTACTGCACCCAGCTATTCTTTATTTTTGAGACAAAATTTTAAACATTCCACATAGGAGTGTGGTAATGTGATATTTCTCTTAATGTAATGTCCTTGCAATACTCTTGCCTCAGCCTCCCGAGTTACTTGGATTATAGGTGTGTACCATCATGCCTGATTAAATAATTCTATTTTCTATATAAAGTAATGTTATTAACCAAAGTGTAGGGCTGGAGAGGAGGATTATGATGGGGGGTGGATAAACAGGAGGTAAGAGTCCAAAGAACAGCCCCTCCAATTTACATCAGCTCTGGGCAATTTAGGATGTCTTTTATTCATCCCTCACCCAGTTTTTTTTGTATTATGAAACAAAACCACACAGATAAGCACAAACCAAGGCCAATCTACTAGTCTTTTCTGCCTTTAATATATACAGCATAAACAGAAATAGGAAGACATAACAGGAAAAGACCAACTGTGCTTTCAAACCATTTCTACTTCCCAGACCTAAAGGAAGTTTTGTTTCAATATTGCAACTGCTATTGTCCTGGAGGGGGATGCAAAGGAATGGCATGCAGAGACTCAAAATTCAAACACGTCAACTTTAAATGGAATACTTTTTGGTATAATGATTCTTCAATAAAGCTGAATTCATTTGGCCACACTAAGAAAACAAAACAAAGATCCCCTACTAAGCCACAGCAAGTAAAAATAAAGGGGCAAATCATTAAAAAGTTGATCTCTGAATGATATCTGTGTATCAATGGCAACATTCCAGATATAGATATAAAGATATACATACACACACACACACACACACACACACATATCCACACATATATGTGTATATATTGTTAATTACCTCTCTTCTCTTAAATAATAAGCCAAGATGTAAGACAGAATGCATAGATAGTACCTTGAGGGGTTTTTGTTTTTAGTTTGGATTTTTCTTGAATGAAACTTTTTAAATTGCTAACAGAAAAAAAAAATTTCTAACAGATTTTTTTCCTTACAGACTCTGCTACAGACTTTATGACATATCCAGGTAAGGAAAATGGGATCTAGTCCAACAGGTTACATTTGCCAGTAAGTAATCTCTCCAAGTCTTATTTCAGTAACAATCAATCTGAACCAAGATTGAAAGTGAAAATGTGACATGAAAGGTAAGGGAAGGAAAGGCAGTCATGAATGATATGCCAAGTGGGAGAAATGATAGTTAAAATCTGACCCACAAATACAGCCAAAAAAGTCACAATAACACTAAAGTGATTTAAATACATAAGTCTATATAAGTGGAGGAAAGCCAGTATATTGCCCTACCTTTACCATTCCAGAATGCTTTGGATTTCAGCACTGTTTCTCCACTTTATAGACTGTGACCCACTTTCATGAGAGACATATTAACTGAAGAACACCACTATCTGTTAGATATTTCATTAGCAAGTATTCTTACCTCAGAAAACGAACATTAACCAAACACCAAGCCCCATCCAGCATTTATTGCTTTGAAAATTAAGCTTGTAGTTTATTGCCTACATTTTATACTTAATGAGAGAATAAAGCACATACATTTAATTCTGAGAAATACCTGAATTAGAAGCCAATAGAAAGCACCAGAATAATCTTTTGTTTCCACATAATATATTCCTCAATGCCTTTCTGGAATGACTACAGACAGAAAATCAATTCTTAAAATGTCATGCATGGTTTGTAATTATAGTTAGAATATATAATGAAAACTGAAATATATATTTATGCATTTATATGTATAGCCATCCAAGTGTTATTAAACAATGATTAAGCTTTGATTTGGATATATACTGACTATAGCTAATCTCTTCATACAATCATGGCTGCCTGCCAGACCACCATGTTCTAGGAATAGATACTTCTTCTCAAGAAATTTTTCTTCAGGCAATTAGCTAATATTTTTGAACTTATAGCCTTTAAACCTCTGCCTGTTAGGGATTTGGTAGAAATATGAAGAACTAATGCTTTCTGATATTTGTCAAAATTTTCATTTAAATTATATTGCTGTACACTTAATTAGGAGGCAAAAGATATATATTTTAAAGGTTTCCTATCTTCTCATTTGTAAATGTTTGCTCCCAGGTGTTTATTCACTAGCGAATGTAACCAACTCTAAGTAGGCCTTTAACATTTCATTGTCCACTGAGAATATACTGGTCATTGAAGTGTAACAAAATTTCACTGGTCTCCCAACATTTTCTCAGTGGTAGGCTAAAACCTCATTTTTATTTTGGATACTTTCCAATATAGCTAGAATGCAAGTGCTTTGTCTAAAGATATCCCCAGTTAAAGGCACAGATGCCCTCTGAATGCTCACAAAGCCTACACATTTTTGACCAAATAGAAGTTGTCAGCAACTTACCAGAATTTCTCTTTGATACCATCTTCAAATTTGTGCTGAATACAGAACAGACCACAAGGACCAAAAGAAATGGTGGCTTCATTGTTCACTTTGTTGTGCCTGAAAAGTCAAAAGAAAAGGAAAAAAGGAGATGAGTTTAAACCAAATAACTTGTCCTCAACAACATACCATCTAAAGGTTGAGCATCCCTAATCTGAAAATCCCAAACCTAAAATGACATTAGGTATATAAAGGCTATGCAAATGATCCAAAATCTTAAACACTTCTGGTCCAGGCATTTAGAGATTCTCAACTTTCTAATTTTACATTTCTCAAAGACACATTATAAAATAATGGTAATCTAGTGACATCTGGCTCCATTTTATGCAAATGAAAGAAAACTTGAAGGTTCATATTTAATCATATCAGAGTTCCGTACTAAAACTTCAATACTATGCATTAGATTTGGAATAAAATCCAAACTCTCCCCAGTAGACTTTCTCCCCAGTAGATGCAACTCCAAGCTGCATCTTTTTATCTTTTTTTCACAAGACTGTTCTTGTCGTCTATGACCCAAGTCACTATGGTCATTTTATTTGTCATTTCCTTCTCATGGCCTTTGTACTTTATCCTGCTTTTGGAGGTCTTTATGGAGTTAGTTCCTTAACATGCTACATGTCTCATTCTCACCAAAAGGCTTTTCCCAACTACCCAATCTTAACTCTGTTATTCTTTAGCTTACCTCTTTATTTATTTTATCCATAAGATTTATCAACACTTATAATCATTTTGTTTATGTAAAAGGAAGTGATTCTACTCAACTTTGACACTGGCATTTTTAAATGGACAGCACTACATCTTACATCATTGAGATGAAACTGTTACAAAACAAAAAAAATTATTGAAAAAAAAGTATGAAACAGAAGTGAGATATAATGATGTCTCCCCATCCTATAACAGGGAAACAACATTATCAGTAGGTATTTGGTAAAAAAAAAAAAATGAAAACTATTTTAACATTGTTGTCCCCATTAAGATTTTTTTTAGCAAATTGGCTACCTATATGGTAGCTCATCTAGGGTCTTTTAATAATTAGAATATAAGCCCTGCAGTGGTATATTTGGCTCATCATAAACCCAAGATATAAAATAGCAAAGGGGTCCATGAGGGTGAAAGCATAGGATCTTTGAAATAATGAATAGAATAAAACCTGAAAGATAAGAATAGCCTTGAGATAATATTTTAAAGATCTAGAATTCTGTATGATGATTTCTTTTTTTTTTTTCAATCATTGATTTGTTCCTAAAAGTACAAAACCTTACCCAGAATATAAGAGTAACAGGGTGATACTGAGTGCTGAGTGGGTTACTCTTTTCCCAGAAATGGCCTCAAAGATTTGCCTGATATCCCAAAATCAGAAAATTTCCAGAGATTGGTGTCTGAGGCCACCAGCTCAACAAACCAATGCAGCTAAATTCTTATCAATACCCACTCACCTCATCAATAAACAAAGAGGACTGGGAAGGAGAATGAGGTCACATTTTGATGTGAAAGACAGGCTTTTCCTTTCTCAATTGACCCTGTGCTTACCATCAGATATTCTGGACTTCTCCCAGCACCACTAGGGAAGGATAAAGAACCCTGGGGATGCATAGTGTGTTTGATATGGCCAAATGACAAGAGAGCCAGGACTAATCTTCACCTATTTCCAACACACAGCAAATTTCAATTTCTCAAGAGGAACTGGAGATGAATTTGGCATCCAAAAGTCCAAGTTAGACTAGATAGATAGATCATTCTTGTGGGATGCTTTGCAACATGGGGAACATAAAGGTATACAAGAGGAAAGTGACATGAAAGCACAAGCTAAACATCTAACTGAATATGTAATCAAAATTTACAAGGGTTGCCAGGTATGGCAATGCATGCCTATAATCCCAGCGGCTTGAGGTGGAGGATCACAAAATCAAAGCCATCATCAGCAACTTATCAAGGCCCTAAGCAATTTAGTGAGATCCCATCTCCAAATAAAAAATAAAAATAAAAGGGCTGGGAATGTGGCTCAGTGGTTAAGCACCCTGGGTTTAATCCCTAGTACTAAAAAAAAAAAAAAAAAAAAAAAAAAAAAGCAAGGGTCTTCCAATGCCCAAAGGACATACTTGGGGACCTTTTCATTAGCAGGCTATTACAAGAAGCACCTATTTATATAGTGCCTATAGACAGCTAAAAGAGCAATTATGACCAACCAAAGACACAGAGTGATAAATGTCTTGTCTTTTCTCTATATCTCCTCCCCAGCAATCCTCCTCCCAAAACAATAATACAAAAGGCACAGGTAAAAGAGGAAGAAGAAGGGGGTGAATGAAAGCCTACCAGGTACCCCCAAACTCCTAGACTAGAGCCATGTCTCATCTGTTTGAAGAAAAACAGATGATATTTGAATCAGGTAAGAGTTTGAAGTTAGTAAAGACAAAATCAAAATGAGACTCTTAAAATATCTAAAAGCATTTGAAAAGTTATAGATTCAGACTTAAATGTTTATCATTATCCTTTGTTTCCCAGTGAGAAAAAATAGGTAAGTGGTAATTAGTGGGGGGGGGGGGGGGGCAATTTCATGTTCATACTCCAATAAGTTGAAACACTTCACAATAAAGTTTCTTTTACTAGCCTTTGTCACTCCTTGCCCTTTATAATGTAAGCTTTACAAGGGCAGCCATTTAGTCATTAACTATTGTATCTTTAGCACAGTCTGAAACATAATTGATAATAAATGCTTAATGAATTAAAGAACAGGACCAACATATATTACATTATATCAAGTGAAAAGTTCAAGTAATACAAATGAATGGAAATTTTTAGTGTTTTCTTTTTAAATTATTCATTTATTTGAAAGAGAACACACTTTATCTAATACATAATTCTCCAAATCTGAGCTGTGTCTTGTCACCTGTTGTCATGAACACTGTTGGTTCCCTAATGCATGTCCTCTTGGCTCACCCTAAAATTATCCCAGAAGTCTTCTTATGTTTCTTTGCCAGAAGGAACTTTCTATCTGCAAAAACAGCTTATCTAGCATAAGGGGTAGAATGGAAGTGCCATATTATTAACATGTCATGAATGATTCTTAGTCAATTATAGAAGTTGGTGAATGAATACTCCAGCTCACTCAACCCTTGGTATGTTCCAGTAGGATTGAGTGCAACCTGCTCCTTAAAAACCCTTTATTTGCATTTCCTTCCTTCCAGTCTGACTGTGCCACTCATCATCTTCCAAATAAACTATACACATCCAAATCTTTGACTCATGGGGCTGGGGCTGTGGCTCAGTGGTAGAACACTTGCCTGGCATGTATGAGGCACTGGGTTCGATTCTCAGTGCCCCATATAAATAAATGAATAAAATAAAGGTTCATCAACAACTAAAAATTACATATATTAAAAAAAAATCCTTGTCTCAGAGTCTGCTTTTTGGCAAATCCAAATCAAAACAAGTACTTCACATAATTCTTTATTTTCCATAGACCTTATCTACCAAATTTCCAGCTCATAAGATTATGTATACTTCAATCCAAAGTACCTCTGTTCTTCCCTAACCCTACCACTTATTGTGAATTAGCATCTACATATCAGAGAAAACATTTGGCCTTTGATTTTTGGGATTGGCTTATTTCACTAAGCATGATAGTCTTCAGTTCCACCCATTTACCAGCAAATGCCATAAATTCATTCTTCTTTATTGTGTATTGAAGGGCAAGGTGGGGAATGGGAATAGCAATGATAGTAGAATAAATCATACATTACTATCCTATGTGCATATATAATTACAGGACAAATATAATTCTACATCATGTCCAACCAGAAGAATGAGAATTTTATACTCCAAATATGTATAATATGTCAAAAATACATTCTACTATCATGTATAATGAATTAGAACAAATAAAAAAGAAAAAAGATATATACACACTCTATAGACTTTTGAAAGAAGGCTTATTACTCAAACTTTTCCTAAAGTACATGCTCATACTAAATTGTATTTACCCAGTGATTAGTATGTGATCATTTTCAGTTATAATACAAGCTACACTTAATAGCTGATATTCACAGATATAACATATTAGAAAATAATAGAACCAGAAATATCTCTACCTTTTTATATAACTGACCCTCCCTATTCCTTGCAAAATAAAATATTTAATGTTTGACATTGACTACAGGAATCATCATTGAAATTGAATAAGTTAAACACAGAATTGTTTAATTATCACTTAAGATCAGTGACAATTAGAAAACCTGGCCATATGAACTTTTTAAGTCCATATATTTATCCATCTCATTTCCATAGGTGAGTCAATTAATTCAACAAATTTTGCTGAACTGCATTTTATGATAATAATATAATTTGGTGATTATTTTGTTTGTGCTCAATACTGTGGTAAACCAATATATGGCAATATATCCTCTCAACAATCTTAGGAGTTGTTATTAGCCTTACTATTCTTTTTGAGGAACTGACACTTGTGACTTACCAAGGTCATGAGTTAGTAAACTATAGAAAAAAGAATTTGACTCTAGGTCTGTATGACTACAAAGTCTAATCACTCAACCACAACTAAATTATTTTTCCCTAGAATTTAGATGCTATAGGAGTCATGAGCCAAGTCTGAGATTATAAAATGTAGCTCCTTGCCTACAAGGAGCTATGACCCAACTGCAGAGATGTGTGCTTAGTGGAATGCTTATTCAAATGTAAGACAATGAAGAACAACCTGTATATGTTAAATGGTAAGGGAATATAAAATAGGAAAAGTGTTTTGTAGCATGTTCAATAGATGATTCAGATTTCCCATTGAAAGAGAAAATCTGCCAAACTGTCAATTCACTCAAAGAGAAAGGCCAACGTAATCAATCTCCTAGCAGTGTTCATCTGCAACATCAGTCAGCCTGCAATATCATCATTGATCAAGGAATGTCTCAGGACTGTGACCACTGGGCTCCTAACATACGGTTGCACACACCTGTTTAAATACTAAAAGTGTCAGAATCAGCTAAAGCTCTCCCCTGGAAATCTTACACTGAAATTTAGGTTTATTACATTATAACTTTTCCTCTTG